GACGAGAGGAGGGAGGGTGGGGGGGAGGACGAGGACGAGGAAGACGAGGACGAGGACGAGGACGAGGACGAGGAGGACGAGGACGAGGACGAGGAGTTGGCAAGGAGGAGGGAGAGGAGAAGGACGGTGGTGATGATGTTGATGATTTACCTTTGAGATCGCTCATATGCATGTTGCTTGCCCAACTCGTTGATCTTTTGCAACCTAAACAAGACAGTGAACATCCTCGTTCCCTCCTCTCTCTCCTTCCTCTCCTCTCTTCTCTCTTCCTCTCTCCCTCTCCTCTCCTCTCTCTTCCTCCTCTGCTCAGCCTCCCCGCTTCTTACCTCACTGACTTGACCTCCTCTGGGATCTGATTATCCCAGGTAGCAGCAGGTGTGTTGGGTCTTGGGCTGACAAGAACATGAGAAAAAAGATAAAACCATGGAACTCCTCCTCCTGCTACTCTTCCTGCTGCTGCTGCTGCTGCTGCTGCTGCTGCTGCTGCTGCTGCTGCTGCTGCTGCTGCTGCTGCTGCTGCTGCTGCTGCTGCTGCTGCTGCTGCTGCTGCTGCCCCTACTCATGCCCCCTCCCTTTTCCCATCCGCTCCCTGCTTCTGTTTAGCCAGCATATCTCCAGTCCTCTCTCCCCCTCCTCCTTTTTCCTCCCTCCCCTTTTTGACCATCTTCTCTCTTTTCCACTGCATCCTTTCCTTCTCCCCCCTCTCCGCCCCTCCTCCTCCAGCTTCTCCTCTCCTCTCCTTCTCTCCTCTCCTCTCCTCGCCTCTCCTCTCCTCTCCTTCCCTCTCCTCTCCTCTCCTTCCCTCTCCTCTCCTCTCCTTCTCTCCTCTCCTCTCCTATCCTTCTCTCCTCTCCTCTCCTCTCCTCTCCTCTCCTCTCCTCCTCACCTGTACGCTGCAGTATTCACCACGTCGAACTTCACCTCCTCCATCAGCCTCAGGCTGTTCTCAAACTGCTCCTCCGTCTCCCCAGGGAACCCAACGATGCAGTCGGCCGTGATGGCCGCGTCTGGGCACAGCTCGCGTATCCTCTTGACGATCTTGAGGTACTGCTCGATCGTATGCCCCCTACCCATCCTCCTCAGGACCTCATCGTCTCCTGACTGGAAGGGGATGTGGAAGCACTTGCACAGCTTCGCATGCTTCGCCACCGTCTCCACGACGCTCAAGGACATGTACCGAGGATGCGATGTCACGAACCTGATTCTCTCTACCTGCTCCACCGTCGCCGCCTCCTCGAGCAGCTCACTGAACCTCTGCTTCGGCTCCATGTCCCTTCCCCACGCGTCGATGTTCTGCCCTAGCAGGGTGACCTCTCTATATCCCTTCCTCCCCAGCTCCTCCATCTCCTTCCTGATGCTCTCCTTGGGTCTGCTCTGCTCCACCCCTCTCGTCGTCGGCACGACGCAGTAAGTGCATCGCTCGTTGCACCCGTAGATCACGTTCACCCAGGCCGTGACCTCCGACTCTCTCCTTGGCCTTGTTGAGTCCTCCATCATCGGGGCCGCCTCCGTCGCCACCACTTGGTTCCCGTTCACCACGTCCTCCAGCAGGTCGCCGATCCTGTTGGCGTACTGCGGGCCCATGACCATGTCAAGCTCAGGGACCCGCCGCAGCAGCTTCTCTCCCTCCTGCTGCGCGACGCACCCAGCAACGATGAGGGCCACGTTCTCTCCGTTCCTCTTCCTGTCTGCCTGCGGGCCGATGTAGGAGTAGACCTTCTGCTCCGCGTGATCTCGGATGGAGCAAGTGTTGTAGATGACGACGTTGGCCTTGGACGGATCCTCCACCTTCGCCATGCCCATGGCCTCTAGCTGACCAGCCATTCGTTCGCTGTCAGCCTGCAGGAGTCGTGAGGAAGGGAGAGGGAGGAGAGGGGGGAGGAGGAAGAAGGGGAGAAGGGTGAAGAGGAAGGAGGGGAGGGAAAGGGCTAGGTGGAGCAGGAAGAAGGGAGAAGGAAGTAGAGGGAAGGAGAACAAGTGGAGAGGAGAGGGGAAGAGAAGAAGAGAACAGAAAGGAGGAGTGAAGGGGGAGTACGGATCATGAACAAATATTACAAACAGGAGGGGGGGGAGGAACGTAAGAGGTTGCAGAGACTTGTGGACAAGTCGATATATGAAAGATGTTTGTAGGTAAAGAGGATGAGAAAAGAACTTACAGAATTCATCTGACATCCCATGGTCTCGATGGAGTATGTCAAGATCGTATCTGGTTTCTGATGAGGGAAGAGTGAGAAAGAAAGATGGTAAGAGACAAAAAAAACGAACTGATAACACAGAGGCAGGGATAAATATTGTTGACAAGTGTACATGTGAGGAGGAGATGTGGAAAAACAAGAACAAAGAAAGAGGGCCATGCAATGGGCGACAGAGAACAAAATTGAAGAAATCGTGAGAATCAAAAGTCTAAAAGAACACCCAATAGTTTGAATCAACAAAGAAAAATTTGAAACAGCACACACGTTTTTCAAACAAGACAAGACATTTAGGGAGGCGACAAGTCAAACAGGCAAGAGATTTCAAGACATTCTCACTTCGTTCATGAGCTCCTTCAACGGCCTCATATACGCACTGCCGTCCGGTGCTGATCCATGAGATGTTATCGTTGTGTGGCAGAGGATAACAGAGAAGGGAAATAGGACAGGAGCGGACAAGATGGGAGAGAAGGAGAGAGGAGGGCAAAGAAAACTTGAGCCGGAGATGTTAAGGGAAGGGAAGAGAGGAGGGAAGAGAGGAGAGGAGAAGAGAGAAGGAAAGAGAGAAGGAGAGGAGAGGAGAGGAGAGGAGAGGAGAGGAGAGGAGAGGAGAGGAGAGAAGGAGAGGAGAGGAAGGGAAGAATAAGATCATTACAGTAAGGTCGAGCTCTTGGAAAGGACAATCTCTTCAGATCGTACATGACATCTTCAATCTGATTAAAACATTGCCGTTAGCCGACCTTGATCAAGCAGAGAACGTGACACAACAATGACGCGATGACTCATCTCTACATGATCGCCCTGTCCTCCCACAAGGTCCACATCATAACTCAACATCACGCTCTACAAACCATCACACCAGCACCCAACAAGAACAAGCACCAACAAAAAGCATTTCATCCGATCACTAGCTCCATGTCTACTACACTCTTGCTGCACACACCTTGATGAGATGTACACCCCGCTCTGACTCCATAAGAAGAACATCGCCCGGCTTCTTCTTCAGCACAGCCTCCCGCACTGCTTTCGGAACAACCTCATCCAAGAAATCATCCTGTGCATTCATCCACCCGATGTTTCCTCCCTCCTTCCTCGTGCTCTCGCAGGCTGAGATCTGCTTCGCCAGCTCCTCAAAGTCTGCGCCGTTCCTGAACTGCTCCAAGATCGCATTCCCCATCTCCATCGTGCTCACAAGGATCTGCGAAGCGCGTACACTCTGCACTTTGCTCTGCCTCTCCGCCTCCTGCTGGTCGAACCAGTCCTTACTCCTCTGACCCTCCTTGGACCATGCCCCCGTCAGGTCCGTGTCAAGCTTCAAGATCGTCCCCGTGCCCTCTGTCGCAGACATCCGGAGTCTCCTGCTGGAGAGCGATCGAGGCTGGGAAGCTCCAGCATGGAACCTTGCTCCGGACGAGCGGCTCAGTGGAGCGATTGGACGCAGCAACAGCTGGTGGGAGAAGGCACCAACATACGCCTCGCAGCCTGCAATCAGCAGCGGAGAGAGCAGAACTGCGGCGATGACCTTCATACTGCAGCTGCTTGAAGTGCTGCTCGTGCTAATGTCAGTTGAGAAGCAAACAAAGAAATGATGAAACTCGATGTATATCAATATCAACTCATGGATGGTGTGCAATACCCAGTTCACTTGCGAACGCCAGTACTCTACAACTCCCTTTCCTCCTACTCCCTCCTACACTCATCGAATCCTATCCTCTCCTCCCTTCTCCCATCCTCCCTCCCCCTCCCCTCCTCTTCTCTCTGCTATGCTAGTTCACCATGGTCTCCCCCCCTGATCATTCTTCAATGGACTCACACCTTGTGTCTGACATCCAAAGGCCACCTCATGACTGGAATAATACATGGGGCAACTATGAAATGGTTGTTCAGAATCTTCATGCCACCCTCCAACGGCGGGCTCTTAGCCTCTTCACACTCTCCGGAGGCCACGCCAGCTTCCTGAGTTGACATTCGTAAATTGACCTCAAGATCCGGTCGTATCCATCGATCAACCGGAAGGTTATCTCGACGACCCTCGACACAGAACCGAAAATCACTATGACTATCTCCCGTGTGGAGTGGGAAAGTATACTACCATCGGTAC